GAGAAAGGATAGGGGAGAGGATATCCCCCAAAATGCTAGGGGGTAAGAAGTATTTATTCTTTTGTCCTTGCTGTGTCTTCTAAGTAAATATCCCATTGTAAAAGCTATTTGTTTTTCATTGAAACTGGGTACTAGCCCCTAAAAGTCAAAAAAACAAAAACTGTCTGGGCTTGAGCTAATAGCATTAGAGAAGGGACACCTCTCCAAACCCTCATGATATCCTAGAATCCTGAGGATGGGTAGAGATAAGCAGTTCTTTCTGTGAAGGTGAGGCCTGAGAATACCCAGTACAAAAGACTTAAGAACGCTGATCGATGTAATGATCAACAATAATTACAGGAGACAAGTGAAGAATAATGCTTTATGCTTTTTGGCTGAGAGGTTATGGAGTAAAGATGCAGAATGAGACATAAATTCTCATACATGGCCAAAGTGCGATTTTTTTTTTGTCTAGCTATACTTGTGTTATAAGTGAGGGCTTTGATTTGGGGGAGGGAGGAGAAGGAAGAATTATAGGGGAAGAGGGAAGGTAGTAATAGTGATGCCAAAAGAAAAAAAAGAAATATTTTAAAAATACACAGAAAAGAGCAGGAGGAAGCTCAAAAAGAGACAAAAACAAGGACAGTTTTGGAACTGCCATGTTAATTTTATTATATAATTTAACAACATGCTGTGCATAAATGAAATTTGTAATTTCGTATGCCATCATCTTTTCCTGTTCTTTACATATGGAAATAATTGTTTTTGTTGATGTTTATGAAGTTCATAATAATAAAAAAGAAAAAAATTAACTGAGAAGAGAAGTGGTAGAGGGGCAACAGAAGATAGCTTTCTCCAGCAATTTGTGAAATGGAGATAAGACAGAAGATAATAACTTGAGGGGATGGTATAAAGTGAAGTGTGGGTTTTATAAGGATGGGGGCAGACCTAGGTAGTCAACAAAGGGTGAGACAGTAAATAAGAGGATAATGAAGATTAGAAAAGTAAAAGATGATTATGGGAGCTGTCTGCCAGAATGGGGGGAAGGGTTTAAGGAGAAGGTGATACTCCTACAGTAGAGACTGAAGTAAAGAATGAGACAGTGGAGGATAGTGTTCAAGGAGTTTTGAGATGTAGAGTTTTGAGATGTAGAGTAAGGGAGAAGAGGGAGTTCAGATGTTTCCTCAGCAAGTATGTAATCAGATTAAAAGGGTGGGGTTTGGCCAGCACATAAGGTACAAAGCTTGATAAGGAAAAGTTTCAAACAGGCACTGCAGAGAATGCATTTGAGAATTATTTAGGCGTAAGTAAAAAGAGTATCCTGCTACAGTGAAGATCTGGTTGCTATTAGATAACATCAATGGACCCAGGTCAGTTCAGTGGTACAGTGGGTAGAGTGCAAAACCTGGAGTCAGGAAGACAGATCTTCCTAATTTCATATCTGGCCTCAGACACTAGCTGTATCACCCTGGGCAAGTCACTTGACATGGTTTGCCTCAGTTTCCTCATCTGTAAAATGATCTGATGAAGGAAATGGCAAACCATTACAGTACCTTTGCCAAGAACACCCCAAATAGGGTCAAGAAGAGTCGGACATGACTGAAAAAAACCAACTGAACCAGATCAGCTCAGCTGAGGCATTTTCTCCAGCTGTATTCTGCACAACAGGAGTGAAGGAGGTGGGTGGTAAAAATTATCCAGGGTTAGAGTTTAGCCATGCATAAACAGAAATTGGAGAAAGGGCCAAGGGATTTGAGAATAGAAAACAGCATAGCATTGAACAGGCTAATTACAGGGTCAAGACTTGGAGGAAGGAAGGTGAAACCAAAGCAAGGATGTTGGCTGTGAGAGTACTGAGGGGTGGTGGAGGGACAAAAGGTCATGATGAAACAGATGAGAACAAGGACTAGGAACAAGTTTAGGAGAGAGGCATAGGGAGTGATGAGTGATAAGAGATTACTGTGGGAGAAAAGAATATCAGAATTCCTATTTAAGGAAAGGATACCCTTGTGGGTGATAACAAGATCAAGGGGGGGGCAGCTAGGTGGCACAGTACATACAGCATCAGCCCTGGAGTCAGGAGGACCTGAGTTCAAATCCAGGCTCAGACCAAACACTTGACACTAGCTGTGTGACCCTGGGCAAGTCACTTAACCCCAATTGCCTCGCCAAATAAACAAAAAAATTCTTTTTTAATTAAAATTAAAATAAAAACAAGATCAAGGGTATGAGCATTCCCTTGTGCAGCTGAGATGGAGTTGAGGAGATGGAGGAAATGAGAAACCATGTAAGCTGAAGTATACTAGTATAAGTAAATAATGTGATGTGGCAGACAAGAATTCTTATGTAATCTTAAACTGTATTAAGGAAAGTGTAATGCCAGACCTAGGGAGGTGATTGTCATGCCCTGGTCAGACCGCATCTGAAGTATTGTGTTCAGTTCTTGGATGCATATTTTAGGAAGGACATTGATAACCTAGAACAGGAGTGGGGAACCTGCAGCCTCAAGGCCACTTGTGGCCTTCTAGGTCCTTGGGAACAAATCCTTTTATTGAGGGGATTTGTTCTGTGAAGTTTGGATTCAGTCAAAGGGCAGGACTTGAGGACCTAGAAGGACACATGTGGCCTCAAGGCTGCAGGTTCCCCAGCTCTGACCTAGCGAGTACTGGGGGAGCGGGCAACAAAAAGATGGAGAAAGGACTCAAGTCGATGTCATATGAAGATTGACTGAAGGAACTGAAGATATTTAGCCTGAAGAATAGAAGACTTAGAGAAGATGGTCCTTTCCCAGTTCTCTTCAAATGTTTGAAAGGAAGACTTATTCTGCTTAACCCCAGAGAACAGAACTAGAAGCAAGGGGTATAAATAAAGCAAAAAGGTCAATTTAGGCTTATTGTAGGAAAAGCTTCCTAACCATTAGAGATGCCTGAGAGTGTCATAGGCTGCTTGGGGAGATAGTGAGTTCCCCCCATTGGAAGTCTTAAAAACAAAGACATTTTCAGGTGATTTGTCAAGAGGCTTTTTTATTCAGGTCTGAGGTATATTAGACAGCCCTTCTATCTTCAGATTCTTTTATTCTTCTGGGCCCTATGAAATTGTGCAAAGCATGTAAATGATAGTGTTCTAATGAAACTTAAGTTAGAATAATAGCATTCATTCCAACCCCTCCCTTTACAGAAGGAGCTAAGTCTCAGAAAGATTAAGTAGCTTAACCAAGGTAATACCTTTGTTTGTGAGCGTCTTAGTATTTTATCTTGTGATCCTTTTACTTTATTTCCTAGAAAAATATTGCATCTGCCTTCTTTCCCTGGACTCCCCCCAAACAAGAAGTCCTACAAATATATCTACCTAATTCAATTCAACCTTTCAAATGTATATTAAAACACCTACTATGTTCAGAATACTCTGGTGGGAGTGGATATAACAGGAGGAGATGTAATGTTCAAATGACAAGAATTTCCTTTCCCTTAAAAGAGTGTGTAGTCTATCAGAAGTACAACCACCAAGGCTGGTGGGAGCCACTAGAAAGTGACAGTGATATTTTTAAGAGTATTAATGTGTTAAAATTTTCTTATTTAAAAAAAATGAGGTTTTAAAAATTATATTTATAAATATTTATAGCAATAAATATATTCATATATTTATATTTATCAAATATATGGTTATATCACATATTTATTGATATTTATATTATAGCAATATTTATAGCAGCTCTTTTTGTGGTGGCAAAGAATTGGAAATTGAGGGGATGCCCATCAACTGGGGAATAGCTGAACAAGTTGTGGTATATTAATGTAATGGAATACTATTGTGCTATAAGAAATGATGAACAGGCAAACTTCAAAAAAATCTGGAAAGATTTACATGAACTGATGAAGAATGAAATGAGCAGAACTAGGAGAACATTGTACACAGAAACAGCCACATTGTGCCATGACTGACTGATAGACTTAGCTCTTCACAGCAAAGCAAGAATCTAAGACAATTCCAAAAGACTCATGATAGGAATTGCTATCCACATTCAGAGAAAGAACTATGGAGTCTGAATGCAGGTGGAAGCATGCTATTTACTCTCATTTTCCTTTGTTGTTTTTATTGTTTCATTCTTGTGGTTCTTCCCATTAGTTCTAATTGTTCTTTATATCGTGACTAATGGGAAAATATGCTTAATATGAATGTATAAGTAGAACCTATATCAGACACCAACAGAGGGAGGGCATGATTCTAACAATCAGCCATATTGGCTAGACTCTTAAGGAACCTGAGCACTTTAATGGAGATGAGATGGATCTTATATATAGAAAGACTGTGGGAGGGATCTAGGAGTGGCCAAGTAGTCAAGGGTGACTGGGAGGTAAAATGGGGTCTAGATAGGATCAAGGGTGGAAAGTTTCCAGGAGGTAACAGAGAATTGGGAGATTGGGCATAGGCCACAATGAAAGGGCAGTTGAGAGGACTTGACCATGTGGGAAAGTCCAGGGTTTTTCTTTTTAGGAGTTCAGATCCCATCCCCGTCAGTTTCCCAACTCGTCTAAAGTTTTCCTCTTTTAAATGATTCTTTAGGAGAGGTAACAATTATTATAAATCCTTAATACCTTATTGTGGATAAGCTTCCTTTTCTATGTATAATGCATAGCATAAAGGGCTTAGGGTACCTTCTCTCATTAAGGGGGCCTGTTCTGGACTCAAGTGAACCATGTTTAATCCTTGGAGAGCCTGATCTCTAAAGAGAGAATAAGGCTTTTTTCATAATCCCTGGCTCATTATATTCCCACTCTGGACCCTGGGAAAAAACCTCCTAGTTTTTTTAGGTTTGATTCATGTCCAAGATCTCTTCAGAAGGGTTAACAGGGTCTCTTCCAGAAAAAGGGTCTATTTCTACAAATTAGATCAGGTACAGACAACCATTTACTCCTCTATCAAAAAAAAATGCTTAAAATACAAAATTTATAAGTGTACATTGATAATTATTTAAAACATGATACAATCCTATTATTCTCTCCCAGGGGGATAATACTTACATTATTTGCACTCATTCCTCTGAAATGGGAAAATTGAAATATTCCTTTGTTTCCCATTGCCACTTCCAGGTTCTCCCTCTACCATCATCACTCAGTAACCTCTTCTTCTTTGAGGTTTACCCAGGGCTGTGCTGGTAAAAAAACAAACAAATAAACAAATAACTAAGTCTCTAAAAAGAAAAAGATATATTTATACATACATATAACACACTTTTTAATTTAATTTGCATTATTAACATTTCCCACCATTTTTTAAAAATTTCCCCATCATTTTAAGTCTAAACAATTAACAAACAATAAAGCAAGCCCTGATTTACAGTATTTGCTGAAGTATAAATGTTTATACTGATAATTTAACAATTATAGCTAGTGAGTTGGTTCCAGCATACCACTGCAATATTTACCCCCCAAATAAAATTTGGGTAGCTGTTGTCTCCTGACCTCCAAAATACTTCTCTTTCTTCAACAAGTTCAGTGTCTGATTCATGGTCTTTTTCCTTTCAAATTCTGCCCTCATGCTAGGACACTTAAACACATATGTTAATATTCTCAAAAACACTTGGACTTCAGAGTTCCTCAACTTTGACATAACATACTCCTCCACTTCACCTGAGTCACACAAAAAATGGTCATATTTTTAATCTTTCCATAACCTAGAAATGCACCATTTCCATATTCTTGAACTCTGAGGTTCCCTTATCTGATTACAATTTATTGTTATTATACCTCTTCCCTTGCCTTTCTACCCCAACTTCTGTTCTTGGTCCACACTGTGACCTACATTCTCTTGACCCCTCAGTTCTTTCTTGGCCATCACCCTGCACTTTCCTCCCTTCTCCATCTTGACCCATGGATAAACCAGTTCAACCTTACACTATACTCTTCTCTTACATCACCAGTCTTGACCTGCCAAGCCTCAGTCTTGAATCACTGCCATGTGCTACTGAAGAAAGCTGGAGAAAAATCACAAAACTGTGCTTAGGAAGTGCGCTACAACTTTCTGGTATATAACCTCAACTGGGTCATCACTGCTCTAAGGCATTTCTTTACTCCTTAATTAACTCACTATTCTAGACACCAAACCTTTCCATCTTCCTTCAGGCCTTCCATGGCTCCCCATTCCCCTACCCTCTCAGCTGAGAACCTTGCCTCATATTTAATTGGGAAAAAAAAGAAAACCAATAAATAAGAGCTCCCTCTTATTCCCTCCTCATCTCAAATCTCTAGATGCCTTTTGCCACTAAGTCCTCCTTCACCCTTGTCTCACATGAAGAGGTGGCCCTTCTCCTTACCAAGGCACAGCCTCTACATGGGTCACTGATCTCACTTCACCCTGTATTCTCCAACAGGTTGTCTTCATCCTCAAAAAACCCTTCTTTGAAATCCATCCATCTCTGCAACATATCATCTTATATTTCTCCTCTCTTTTGTGGCTAAACTACAATTGGTGCCTCTGCTTCCTCTCCTCTAACTCTCTACACTTCTGGCTTCCTTTCTCATCATTCAACCAAAACTACTCTCTTCAAAGTTATCAGTGATTCCTTCCTGACTTCTGTCTAGCCTTTGGCACCATCACCCTCTTTTCCTCATTCTCCTCCTACCTGTCTGGCTTGTTCTTCTCCATCTCTTTTGCTGGACCTTCATCTAGGTCACTATGAACTCATTTTCTTTCCCCTAGACTCTCCACTTCCAAACTTTCCCTTTATCACCAAAGGCACCACCATTCCCCCAGTCACCCAGGCTCACAACCTAGATGTCAACCTTAACTCATCATTCTGTCTCTCTCACACACACACCCCCATCCAATCTGTGGCCAAGACCTGTCAATTTGACAATTATAGCATCTCTCATAGATGCCCCCTTCTCTCCTCTGACACTGCCATCACCCTGGTGCAGGCCCTCAACACCTCATGTTTGGGCTATTACAATAGCTTATTGGTTGGTCTCCCTGCCACAAGTCTTTCCCCACTCCAGTCCATCCTCCGCTCAGCTCAAATTAATTTTGCTAAAGTACAGATCTGGCTATGCCACTTGCCTTCCCTCCTTCCCAGCCCTATCCAAACTCAATGAACTCCAGTGGCTCCCTATTACCCTCTAGGATCAAATATAAAATCTTCTGTTTGAAATTCAAAACCCTTCACTAACTGGCCCCTTCTTACCTTTCCATTCTCCGTATACCTTACACATACACACACACACACACACACACACACACACCCCAATCCAGTAACACTAGACAACTACTTTCTATTCCTTGAACAACACACTTCTCAAGACTCAGGGCATTTTTCAGGTTTCTTTTTGTTTTGTTTTGTTTCATTTTGCTTTTTGGTGAGGCAATCAGGGTTAAGTGACTTGCCCAGGGTCATACAGCTAGTATGTGTCAAGTGTCTGAGGCTGGATTTGAACTCAGGTCCTCTTGTCTCCAAGGCCGGAGCTCTATCCACTGCACCACCTAGCTGCCCCTCAGGGCATTTTTCACTGGCTGTTCCCTGTGCCTAGAATACTCTCCCCCTCACTTTTTCTGCCCCTTGCCTTCCCTGGCTTTCTTCAAGTAACAGATAAAATCTTATCTCCAAGGAGAAACCTTTTCTGATCCACCATAATAAGAGAGCCTCTCCCCTAGTGATTATCTTAGATTGCTTCTGTATGCAGCTTGTTTGTACATGGTTCTTTTCATGCTGTCTCTCCCCATCAGAATGTGAGCTCCTTGCAAGCAGGGACTGTCTTTTGCCTTTCTCTAGCACAGTGCCCGGTACATAGTAGGTACTCGATAAATGCTTATTGACTGACATTAAGACAGTACCAGTTACAAGTTCCTCTTTGTGTGTATTTGTAAGAAAGTGTACCTCAAGTTTGTGGGGGAGGGTTTTTTATAGCTATTATTTTTACCATGCCATCGTTTTGTTGTCTTGTTGTTGTTCAGTTATGCCCAACTCTTGGTGACCTCATTTTGGGGCTTTCTTGGCAAAGACACTAGTGTGGTTTGCCATCTCCTTCTCCAGCTCATTTACAGATGAGGAAACTGAGGCAAAAAGACTTAAGTGACTTGCCCAGCATCATGTACCTAGTAAGCGTCTAAGATCAAATTTGAACTCAGGAAGATGAATCTTCCTGACTTCAGGTCTGGCTCTCTATCTACTTTGACACGTAGGTGCCATCTTAAATGACATAAATTTGTTGGGTACCTAGTCAGCTCAGTTGCATAACTTCTTCCAGTTCTGTTCAACAGCACATAATTATTATATAGGAGCAGGAGAGGAAAATGGTAGAAGTAATGCAGATGGGATTGGGCAAGGATGAGCAATGATAGGATGAAGGGAAAGAGATTTGAGAGGAAAGTGTGGAGTTAGACTCTACACTTAGACTAGGTCAAGATGATGAAGTCAATCAAGAAAGTGGCATCAGAGGAGAGAGTAATAGTCTGAGAAATCCCAAGGCATAGAGAAGTTGGGGGTACTAATAAAGGGGAAAAATAGGTTTAGGAGGGATAAGGCATAGGGAGAGGCAGAATGATAGGTTATGGTCTGATACAGGAACATCAGAATTTTTTTTTAATCATGGAAGTTAACACTTGCGGTAAAGGTGAGATCCAGGAGATGACTGTGCAGGGATGAAGTAAAATGAAGTAGTAGGTCATGGGATTTGAGGGAGGTTAGGGTGCACTGACATAAAAGTTGAAGAACTTCAGCAAAAGGAAAGGAGTTGAGGAAGACAGGAAAAAAATGACACTGGTACTGAACACCTTGAGGAAGGAGGAAGAATAACCTTAAGACCCAAAGACAATAGACACTATGATCTATGTTGGATGAAAAACATTATTAAAATAAACTTCAAAGGCGAAAAGGTTGCAAAGTGAGGACATTTTCAAAGGAACAGTCTTAAAGTGTCGATAAGGGGCAAGGAGTATTCTGACTCCCTCTTCAGGACCAGTGTGCCTGGACAGGATGGCAGGATGCAATGTCACCTAGGGGAAGCTAGGTTTCTATAAGTGCAAAAATATTGAAGAGATTCAGAATGAAGGAAAGATTGTTCATTATGAAACAGAAATTCCAAAGAGCAGAGTAGAAGTAAACAGAGTTTGGGCAGAACATAGAAGAAAAGGGCTGAAGAAAATATGGATATGAGAACAGGAAATAGGAGTGGAGAATCATTTACTTCTAAGCAGCTAAGATTAAGTGACACAGGAATTTGGACATTAATAGGTGGTAGCTGTCCTTTATATGTGGAATGCATTCTCTCCTCACCCCTACCTCAAAGAATCCCTTACTTCCTTCAAGGATCACCTTCCACATGAAGCCTTTCTTCATCCTCCCAATCATTAGTGTCCTCCCTCCCTCCAAATTTTTAACTATTTTTAATTTATTTTTAATTGTGTGTATATGTACGTGTGTATGTATATATGAGTGTATGTGTATACATATATATGTATAGTGTGTATGTATATATGTATATGTGTATATGCATATGCATATAAATACAGATACTTATATAGAGATATATAAATATATACACATATACAAATATGTGCATATATTTCTAAACATACACGCATGTGCTGTCCCCCCCAAAGCTGAGATTACTTCATTTGTCTTCTGTTTGAATCTCTAGTACCTAATAAATAACAGGCATATTATCGATTGATTGAGTGACCTTCATAGAGGCAGAAAATTCCATCTGCATCATGCTTCTTGCATAAGAGAACCTGGACTAAATGACTGATGAACTAAATCCAGAGAGCTTCCCTAGCCATCCACGAGCAGAGCTGGACCCAAGCAAAAGCCCTTAATCCAGACACTAAGGACGGTGATATGAAAAATAAAAGACCTAACGTGATAAAAAAAAATACTATGTATTGATCATAGCTCAAGGGGTAAATAGAGAAGAAAAAAGTGACTCCACAACAAGTCAAAATAGACCCTCAAAGAAAAAATGTTCTGACCACAAAGATCACAAAAATATGTGGAATAAATGAAACAAGATATATAAAATAGAATTGCTAGGGAGGAAAGAATGGAGAGAAATGATACCTTAGAACAGAAATTTACCCAAGAAATGAATGTCCTTAAAATTAGAATAGGCCAAACATAAAACAATGGAAAATTTCATCAAAAAAAATTATAATAATGAG